CCAATTAAACCATGAGTAAACAAAGTAACAATTACACCTCTTTTTAAAAACTGTTCTATCTATATAAAAATCAGCATTGTATTTCAAGAAAAAAATTACTCCGTAACGTCAAAAACAGTTTTTTTCAATTTTCTTTGTAAATAGTGAATCAATGTGACTAAAACTTTTGGAGACAGTTTGTTGTCATAAACATGGTTTACATTTAAATTTTGGTGGAGTTTATTCAGCCGGTGTGAATTAGTTGATGCTAACTTGACAACAATCTTTTTAAAGTTTGATAGTTTATTATATAAAATCAAAAACATAAATAAAGATTGTAGATAATGACATTATTGATAAAATTTACATATTTTAATCTGTATTATTAGATTTAAATTAGTAATAAAAATAATATGACTTGATCAGGACTTGTTTTTTTATTCAACAATAAACGACATTTCAGCAGCTGACCATCCCCTTATCTAGTTTGATATAAAATATAGTAAATACTAAAAATAATAATTTTGAAATTTATTAAAATAAAGTTGCCTATTATCTTTATTATTAATATAATTAAAACCCCCACATAAAAATATTTTAATGCTTTTGCCATAAGATTTAAGTTTTTTTTAATTTTTAAAAATAAAAGAAATTCTAATAAAGTAAAAAAAATAATTTGCTAACAATATATCTTCAAAAATTAAAAATTTCAATTTAACAGTTACTTAAATTATTATTTATAATCTAAAATATTAGTAGGAAAGAAAGAAGGAATAAAATTTTAAAAATGAAAAGACAAAAAATTTAAGCATTCGAATGTTTTAAAGACAAAACTTTTTTTAACTTTGTACAAAATAACAAAATTATACACAAAATTGATTCTGAAAATTTTTTTTTTACAAAATAACAAATTTTCTTTTTTATGTAAAAAATAACAGTTTAAAAAAAAATTATTGAATGTACAAAATAACAAATTCAAACAAAAATTTTATGTAAAAAATAACAAATTTTAAAAAAAAATTTGTAATAGATAACAAATTAAAAAAAAAAATTATGTAAAAAATAACACTGCAAAAAAACAAAAAAAAATTTTATGTACAAAATAACAAACAAAAAAAAAATATTTTTATTTATAAAAAAAAAAAAAAAAAAAATGAATATATTTAAATAATAAAAGAAAAAAAATTGAATGTAAAATTTAACAATTTATTTTTTTGTTCAATCTAACATTTTTTTAAAAAAATTTGTGTAGTTTTGATACCGACTCAAAATAACCCTTTTTCGGGTTGAAATTGAAAAAAGATGTTACATAAAAATAGTTTGTAAGATTTTCTAACAGCATATATGCAAAGTATTTTGATTTATTTAAAAATAATTAAAAATAGATTTTTCAAGGACGGTGTCGAGGTCACGGGGTCGGTGTCGTTTTTCGAAATTTGTTAACTTAATATAATAGAAGATGTTTCGTTTTAAATTAAGAAATGTTAAAATTATTAAGTTAAAAAAATTTGATTTTAATGACACTTAAAATTAGACACAATATTATAGGTTACTAACTAAAAATTAAAAAAACAACAATAAATAATAAGAAATAAAAATTAAAAAAATCAAAAAATTCTTAAAAAATTGCAAAACAACCCTTTTTTGGGTTAAAATTGAAAAATAACCCTTTTTCGGGTTAAAAATGGAAAAAAGATGTTACATAAAAATAGTTTGTAAGATTTTCTAACAGCATATATGCAAAGTATTTTGATTTATTTGAAAATAATTGAAAATATATTTTTCAAGGACGGTGTCGAGGTCACGGGGTCGAGGTCACGTGGTCGGTGTCGTTTTTCGAAATTTGTTAAATTAATATAATAACAGATGTTTCGTTTTAAATTAAGAAATGTTAAAAATATTAAGTTAAAAACATTTGATTTTAATGACACTTAAAATTAGACACAATATTATAGGTTACTAACTAAAAATTGAAAAAACAACAAGAAATAATAAAAAATAATAATAAAAAATTAAAAAAATCAAAAAATTCTTAAAAAATTGCAAAATAACCCTTTTTCGGGTAAAAATTGAAAAAAGATGTTACATAAAAATAGTTTGTAAGATTTTCTAACAGCATATATGCAAAGTATTTTGATTTATTTAAAAATAATTGAAAATAGATTTTTCAAGGACGGTGTCGAGGTCACGGGGTCGGTGTCGTTTTTCGAAATTTGTTAACTTAATATAATAGAATATGTTTCGTTTTAAATTAAGAAATGTTAAAATTATTATGTTAAAAAAATTTGATTTTAATGACACTTAAAATTAGACACAATATTATAGGTTACTAACTAAAAATTGAAAAAACAACAATAAAAAATAAAAAATAATAATAAAAAATTAAAAAAATCAAAAAATTCTTAAAAAATTGCAAAATAACCCTTTTTTGGGATAAAATTGCAAAATAACCCTTGTTCGGGATAAAATTGAAAAATAACCCTTTTTCGGGTTAAAATTGCAATAAATATATGCAAATTATTTTGATTTATTTGAAAATAATTGAAAATAGATTTTTCAAGGACGGTGTAGAGGTCACGGGGTTGGTGTCGTTTTTCGAAATTTGTTAACTTAATATAATAGAAAATGTTTCGTTTTAAATTAAGAAATGTTAAAATTATTAAGTTAAAAACATTTGATTTTAATGACACTTAAAATTAGACACAATATTATAGGTTACTAACTAAAAATTGAAAAAACAACAATAATTAATAAGAAATAAAAATAAAAAATTAAAAAAATCAAAAAATTCTTAAAAAATTGCAAAATAACCCTTTTTCGGGTTAAAATTGCAAAATAACCCTTTTTCGGGTTAAAATTGAAAAAAGATGTTACATAAAAATAGTTTGTAAGATTTTCTAACAGCATATATGCAAAGTATTTTCATTTATTTGAAAATAATTGAAAATAGATTTTTCAAGGAAGGTGTCGAGTTCACGGGGTCGGTATTGTTTTTCGAAATTTGTTAACTTAATATAATAGAAGATGTTTCGTTTTAAATTAAGAAATGTTAAAATTATTATGTTAAAAACATTTGATTTTAATGACACTTAAAATTAGACACAATATTATAGGTTACTAACTAAAAATTGAAAAAACAACAATAAATAATAAAAAATAATAATAAAAAATTTAAAAAATCAAAAAATTCTTAAAAAATTGCAAAATAACCCTTTTTCGGGTAAAAATTGAAAAAAGATGTTACATAAAAATAGTTTGTAAGATTTTCTAACAGCATATATGCAAAGTATTTTGATTTATTTAAAAATAATTGAAAATAGATTTTTCAAGGACGGTGTCGAGGTCACGGGGTCGGTGTCGTTTTTCGAAATTTGTTAACTTAATATAATAGAAGATGTTTCGTTTTAAATTAAGAAATGTTAAAATTATTATGTTAAAAACATTTGATTTTAATGACACTTAAAATTAGACACAATATTATAGGTTACTAACTAAAAATTGAAAAAACAACAATAAATAATAAAAAATAAAAATAAAAAATTAAAAAAATCAAAAAATTCTTAAAAAATTGCAAAATAACCCTTTTTCGGGTAAAAATTGAAAAAAGATGTTACATAAAAATAGTTTGTAAGATTTTCTAACAGCATATATGCAAAGTATTTTGATTTATTTAAAAATAATTGAAAATAGATTTTTCAAGGACGGTGTCGAGGTCACGGGGTCGGTGTCGTTTTTCGAAATTTGTTAACTTAATATAATAGAAGATGTTTCGTTTTAAATTAAGAAATGTTAAAATTATTAAATTAAAAACATTTGATTTTAATGACACTTAAAATTAGACACAATATTATAGGTTACTAACTAAAAATTGAAAAAACAACAATAAATAATAAAAAATAATAATAAAAAATATAAAAATCAAAAAATTCTTAAAAAATTGCAAAATAACCCTTTTTCGGGTAAAAATTGAAAAAAGATGTTACATAAAAATAGTTTGTAAGATTTTCTAACAGCATATATGCAAAGTATTTTGATTTATTTAAAAAAAATTGAAAATAGATTTTTCAAGGACGGTGTCGGTATTGTTTTTCGAAATTTGTTAACTTAATATAATAGAAGATGTTTCGTTTTAAATTAAGAAATGTTAAAATTATTAAATTAAAAACATTTGATTTTAATGACACTTAAAATTAGACACAATATTATAGGTTACTAACTAAAAATTGAAAAAACAACAATAAATAATAAAAAATAATAAAAAATTAAAAAAATCAAAAAATTCTTAAAAAATTGCAAAATAACCCTTTTTCGGGTTGAAATTGAAAAAAGATGTTACATAAAAATAGTTTGTAAGATTTTCTAACAGCATATATGCAAAGTATTTTGATTTATTTAAAAATAATTGAAAATAGATTTTTCAAGGACGGTGTCGAGGTCACGGGGTCGGTGTCGTTTTTCGAAATTTGTTAACTTAATATAATAGAATATGTTTCGTTTTAAATTAAGAAATGTTAAAATTATTATGTTAAAAAAATTTGATTTTAATGACACTTAAAATTAGACACAATATTATAGGTTACTAACTAAAAATTGAAAAAACAACAATTAAAAATAAAAAATAATAATAAAAAATTAAAAAAATCAAAAAATTCTTAAAAAATTGCAAAATAACCCTTTTTCGGGATAAAATTGCAAAATAACCCTTGTTCGGGTTAAAATTGAAAAATAACCCTTTTTCGGGTTAAAATTGCAATAAATATATGCAAATTATTTTGATTTATTTGAAAATAATTGAAAATAGATTTTTTAAGGACGGTGTAGAGGTCACGGGGTCGGTGTCGTTTTTCGAAATTTGTTAACTTAATATAATAGAAAATGTTTCGTTTTAAATTAAGAAATGTTAAAATTATTAAGTTAAAAACATTTGATTTTAATGACACTTAAAATTAGACACAATATTATAGGTTACTAACTAAAAATTGAAAAAACAACAATAATTAATAAGAAATAAAAATAAAACATTAAAAAAATCAAACAATTCTTAAAAAATTGCAAAATAACCCTTTTTCGGGTTAAAATTGAAAAAAGATGTTACATAAAAATAGTTTGTAAGATTTTCTAACAGCATATATGCAAAGTATTTTGATTTATTTAAAAATAATTGAAAATAGATTTTTCAAGGACGGTGTCGGTGTCGTTTTTCGAAATTTGTTAACTTAATATAATAGAAGATGTTTCGTTTTAAATTAAGAAATGTTAAAATTATTAAATTAAAAACATTTGATTTTAATGACACTTAAAATTAGACACAATATTATAGGTTACTAACTAAAAATTGAAAAAACAACAATAAAAAATAAAAAATAATAATAAAAAATTTAAAAAATCAAAAAATTCTTAAAAAATTGCAAAATAACCCTTTTTCGGGATAAAATTGCAAAATAACCCTTGTTCAGGATAAAATTGAAAAATAACCCTTTTTCGGGTTAAAATTGCAATAAATATATGCAAATTATTTTGATTTATTTGAAAATAATTGAAAATACATTTTTCAAGGACGGTGTAGAGGTCACGGGGTTGGTGTCGTTTTTCGAAATTTGTTAACTTAATATAATAGAAAATGTTTCGTTTTAAATTAAGAAATGTTAAAATTATTAAGTTAAAAACATTTGATTTTAATGACACTTAAAATTAGACACAATATTATAGGTTACTAACTAAATATTGAAAAAACAACAATAAATAATAAAAAATAATAATGAATAATTAAAAAAATCAAACAATTCTTAAAAAATTGCAAAATAACCCTTTTTCGGGTTAAAATTGAAAAATAACCCTTTTTCGTGTTAAATTTGAAAAAAGATGTTACATAAAAATAGTTTGTAAGATTTTCTAACAGCATATATGCAAAGTATTTTGATTTATTTGAAAATAATTGAAAATAGATTTTTCAAGAACGGTGTCGAGGTCACGGGGTCGGTGTAGTTTTTCGAAATTTGTTAACTTAATATAATAGAAGATGTTTCTTTTTAAATTAAGAAATGTTAAAATTATTAAGTTAAAAACATTTGATTTTAATGACACTTAAAATTAGACACAATATTATCGGTTACTAACTAAAAATTGAAAAAACAACAATAAATAATAAAAAATAATAATAAAAAATTAAAAAAATTAAAAAATTCTTAAAAAATTGCAAAATAACCCTTTTTGGGTTAAAATTGAAAAATAACCCTTTTTCGTGTTAAATTTGAAAAAAGATGTTACATAAAAATAGTTTGTAAGATTTTCTAACAGCATATATGCAAAGTATTTTGATTTATTTGAAAATAATTGAAAATAGATTTTTCAAGAACGGTGTCGAGGTCACGGGGTCGGTGTAGTTTTTCGAAATTTGTTAACTTAATATAATAGAAGATGTTTCTTTTTAAATTAAGAAATGTTAAAATTATTAAGTTAAAAACATTTGATTTTAATGACACTTAAAATTAGACACAATATTATCGGTTACTAACTAAAAATTGAAAAAACAACAATAAATAATAAAAAATAATAATAAAAAATTAAAAAAATTAAAAAATTCTTAAAAAATTGCAAAATAACCCTTTTTGGGTTAAAATTGAAAAATAACCCTTTTTCGTGTTAAATTTGAAAAAAGATGTTACATAAAAATAGTTTGTAAGATTTTCTAACAGCATATATGCAAAGTATTTTGATTTATTTGAAAATAATTGAAAATAGATTTTTCAAGAACGGTGTCGAGGTCACGGGGTCGGTGTAGTTTTTCGAAATTTGTTAACTTAATATAATAGAAGATGTTTCTTTTTAAATTAAGAAATGTTAAAATTATTAAGTTAAAAACATTTGATTTTAATGACACTTAAAATTAGACACAATATTATCGGTTACTAACTAAAAATTGAAAAAACAACAATAAATAATAAAAAATAATAATAAAAAATTAAAAAAATCAAAAAATTCTTAAAAAATTGCAAAATACCCTTTTTCGGGTAAAAATTAAAAAAAGATGTTACATAAAAATAGTTTGTAAGATTTTCTAACAGCATATATGCAAAGTATTTTAATTTATTTAAAAATAATTGAAAATAGATTTTTCAAGGACGGTGTCGGTATTGTTTTTCGAAATTTGTTAACTTAATATAATAGAAGATGTTTTGTTTTAAATTAAGAAATGTTAAAATTATTATGTTAAAAACATTTGATTTTAATGACACTTAAAATTAGACACAATATTATAGGTTACTAACTAAAAATTGAAAAAACAACAATAAATAATAAGAAATAAAAATAAAAATTAAAAAAATCAAAAAATTCTTAAAAAATTGCAAAACAACCCTTTTTCGGGTTAAAATTGAAAAATAACCCTTTTTCGGGTTAAAAATGGAAAAAAGATGTTACATAAAAATAGTTTGTAAGATTTTCTAACAGCATATATGCAAAGTATTTTGATTTATTTGAAAATAATTGAAAATATAATTTTCAAGGACGGTGTCGAGGTCACGGGGTCGGTGTCGTTTTTCGAAATTTGTTAACTTAATATAATAGAAGATGTTTCGTTTTAAATTAAGAAATGTTAAAATTATTAAGTTAAAAACATTTGATTTTAATGACACTTAAAATTAGACACAATATTATAGGTTACTAACTAAAAATTGAAAAAACAACAATAAAAAATAAAAAATAATAATAAAAAATTTAAAAAATCAAAAAATTCTTAAAAAATTGCAAAATAACCCTTTTTCGGGATAAAATTGCAAAATAACCCTTGTTCGGGATAAAATTGAAAAATAACCCTTTTTCGGGTTAAAATTGCAATAAATATATGCAAATTATTTTGATTTATTTGAAAATAATTGAAAATACATTTTTCAAGGACGGTGTAGAGGTCACGGGGTCGGTGTCGTTTTTCGAAATTTGTTAACTTAATATAATAGAAAATGTTTCGTTTTAAATTAAGAAATGTTAAAATTATTAAGTTAAAAACATTTGATTTTAATGACACTTAAAATTAGACACAATATTATAGGTTACTAACTAAATATTGAAAAAACAACAATAAATAATAAAAAATAATAATGAATAATTAAAAAAATCAAACAATTCTTAAAAAATTGCAAAATAACCCTTTTTCGGGTTAAAATTGAAAAATAACCCTTTTTCGTGTTAAATTTGAAAAAAGATGTTACATAAAAATAGTTTGTAAGATTTTCTAACAGCATATATGCAAAGTATTTTGATTTATTTGAAAATAATTGAAAATAGATTTTTCAAGAACGGTGTCGAGGTCACGGGGTCGGTGTAGTTTTTCGAAATTTGTTAACTTAATATAATAGAAGATGTTTCTTTTTAAATTAAGAAATGTTAAAATTATTAAGTTAAAAACATTTGATTTTAATGACACTTAAAATTAGACACAATATTATCGGTTACTAACTAAAAATTGAAAAAACAACAATAAATAATAAAAAATAATAATAAAAAATTAAAAAAATTAAAAAATTCTTAAAAAATTGCAAAATAACCCTTTTTGGGTTAAAATTGAAAAATAACCCTTTTTCGTGTTAAATTTGAAAAAAGATGTTACATAAAAATAGTTTGTAAGATTTTCTAACAGCATATATGCAAAGTATTTTGATTTATTTGAAAATAATTGAAAATAGATTTTTCAAGAACGGTGTCGAGGTCACGGGGTCGGTGTAGTTTTTCGAAATTTGTTAACTTAATATAATAGAAGATGTTTCTTTTTAAATTAAGAAATGTTAAAATTATTAAGTTAAAAACATTTGATTTTAATGACACTTAAAATTAGACACAATATTATCGGTTACTAACTAAAAATTGAAAAAACAACAATAAATAATAAAAAATAATAATAAAAAATTAAAAAAATCAAAAAATTCTTAAAAAATTGCAAAATACCCTTTTTCGGGTAAAAATTAAAAAAAGATGTTACATAAAAATAGTTTGTAAGATTTTCTAACAGCATATATGCAAAGTATTTTAATTTATTTAAAAATAATTGAAAATAGATTTTTCAAGGACGGTGTCGGTATTGTTTTTCGAAATTTGTTAACTTAATATAATAGAAGATGTTTTGTTTTAAATTAAGAAATGTTAAAATTATTATGTTAAAAACATTTGATTTTAATGACACTTAAAATTAGACACAATATTATAGGTTACTAACTAAAAATTGAAAAAACAACAATAAATAATAAGAAATAAAAATAAAAATTAAAAAAATCAAAAAATTCTTAAAAAATTGCAAAACAACCCTTTTTCGGGTTAAAATTGAAAAATAACCCTTTTTCGGGTTAAAAATGGAAAAAAGATGTTACATAAAAATAGTTTGTAAGATTTTCTAACAGCATATATGCAAAGTATTTTGATTTATTTGAAAATAATTGAAAATATAATTTTCAAGGACGGTGTCGAGGTCACGGGGTCGGTGTCGTTTTTCGAAATTTGTTAACTTAATATAATAGAAGATGTTTCGTTTTAAATTAAGAAATGTTAAAATTATTAAGTTAAAAACATTTGATTTTAATGACACTTAAAATTAGACACAATATTATAGGTTACTAACTAAAAATTGAAAAAACAACAATAAAAAATAAAAAATAATAATAAAAAATTTAAAAAATCAAAAAATTCTTAAAAAATTGCAAAATAACCCTTTTTCGGGATAAAATTGCAAAATAACCCTTGTTCGGGATAAAATTGAAAAATAACCCTTTTTCGGGTTAAAATTGCAATAAATATATGCAAATTATTTTGATTTATTTGAAAATAATTGAAAATACATTTTTCAAGGACGGTGTAGAGGTCACGGGGTCGGTGTCGTTTTTCGAAATTTGTTAACTTAATATAATAGAAAATGTTTCGTTTTAAATTAAGAAATGTTAAAATTATTAAGTTAAAAACATTTGATTTTAATGACACTTAAAATTAGACACAATATTATAGGTTACTAACTAAAAATTGAAAAAACAACAATAAATAATAAAAAATAATAATGAATAATTAAAAAAAATCAAACAATTCTTAAAAAATTGCAAAATAAACCTTTTTCGGGTTAAAATTGAAAAAAGATGTTACATAAAAATAGTTTGTAAGATTTTCTAACAGCATATATGCAAAGTATTTTGATTTATTTGAAAATAATTGAAAATAGTTTTTTCAAGGACGGTGTCGAGGTCTTAAAAAATTGCAAAATAAACCTTTTTCGGGTTAAAATTGAAAAAAGATGTTACATAAAAATAGTTTGTAAGATTTTCTAACAGCATATATGCAAAGTATTTTGATTTATTTGAAAATAATTGAAAATAGTTTTTTCAAGGATAAAAATAATAAAAAATAATAATAAAAAATTAAAAAAATCAAAAAATTCTTAAAAAATTGCAAAATAACCCTTTTTCGGGTAAAAATTGAAAAAAGATGTTACATAAAAATAGTTTGTTAGATTTTCTAACAGCATATATGCAAAGTATTTTGATTTATTTGAAAATAATTGAAAATAGATTTTTCAAGGACGGTGTCGAGGTCACGGGGTCGAGGTCACGTGGTCGGTGTCGTTTTTCGAAATTTGTTAAATTAATATAATAACAGATGTTTCGTTTTAAATTAAGAAATGTTAAAAATATTAAGTTAAAAACATTTGATTTTAATGACACTTAAAATTAGACACAATATTATAGGTTACTAACTAAAAATTGAAAAAACAACAATAAATAATAAAAAATAATAATAAAAAATTAAAAAAATCAAAAAATTCTTAAAAAAATTGCAAAATAACCCTTTTTTGGGTTAAAATTGAAAAATAACCCTTTTTCGTGTTAAATTTGAAAAAAGATGTTACATAAAAATAGTTTGTAAGATTTTCTAACAGCATATATGCAAAGTATTTTGATTTATTTGAAAATAATTGAAAATAGTTTTTTCAAGGACGGTGTCGAGGTCTTAAAAAATTGCAAAATAAACCTTTTTCGGGTTAAAATTGAAAAAAGATGTTACATAAAAATAGTTTGTAAGATTTTCTAACAGCATATATGCAAAGTATTTTGATTTATTTGAAAATAATTGAAAATAGTTTTTTCAAGGATAAAAATAATAAAAAATAATAATAAAAAATTAAAAAAATCAAAAAATTCTTAAAAAATTGCAAAATAACCCTTTTTCGGGTAAAAATTGAAAAAAGATGTTACATAAAAATAGTTTGTAAGATTTTCTAACTGCATATATGCAAAGTATTTTGATTTATTTAAAAATAATTGAAAATAGATTTTTCAAGGACGGTGTCGGTATTGTTTTTCGAAATTTGTTAACTTAATATAATAGAAGATGTTTTGTTTTAAATTAAGAAATGTTAAAATTATTATGTTAAAAACATTTGATTTTAATGACACTTAAAATTAAAAACAATATTATAGGTTACTAACTAAAAATTGAAAAAACAACAATAAATAATAAAAAATAATAATGAAAAATTAAAAAAATCTAGCAATTCTTAAAAAATAGTAAAATAACCCTTTTTCGGGTTGAAATTGAAAAAAGATGTTACATAAAAATAGTTTGTAAGATTTTCTAACAGCATATATGCAAAGTATTTTGATTTATTTAAAAATAATTGAAAATAGATTTTTCAAGGACGGTGTCGAGGTCACGGGGTCGGTGTCGTTTTTCGAAATTTGTTAACTTAATATAATAGAAGATTTTAAATTTAATTAAAAATTTTTTTTATTTAATTTAATTTTTAATTATTAATTATTAGTTATTAATAAAAAATAACATAATTAATAAACAAAATTTTAATTAAAATTTTTAATTTAATTTTAATTTATATTTTTTTATTATTTATTTATTTATTATCAGCTGATTTCTTTTTTTATAACTTCATTTACATTTATACTGACACAAAATAGAAAATGGAAAAAATTAACTAGAAAAGACAAGTGATTTGCTTTAACCTTACGCCTGCCGGTTAAAAGTAAATTTAATTTAATTTTTTACAACGTACTTCTTAATTTTGCTTAACATCATTTTCTTCGTTTTCCAGATCTTCACGTAAAGATTCCAGAATTGCAGAAAACTCTTGCCTATCCATATTGCATAGTCTCTCATTTTCAATATCCATCTATAAATTTTATTATCATCGTGCTTTTTAATTTTTATATTTTATTTAAAAAAATATTTAGACAGAGAAAATTATTTGATTTTTACAACAAAACTTTGTTAATTTTTGTTAATTTGTGTGCAAGAAAATTCTTTTCGTTAACTCAAACAATTTTGGTTCATCTAACAAAATTTTAATTGCATTAACGAAAGTTTAATTTGTAAATTTTTGTTAAGGAAAAAAATTGTTATGAATTAACAAAAATTTTTACTTTTAATTAAAATTTTATTTTTTATATTATTTATTATTATTTTATATATAATTTTTATTTATATTTATTTAATATTTAACATTAATAAATGTATTAAATTATTTATTTAATTAAAAATAAAAACTTAAACTTTCATGAATGACTTTATTTTGTTAAATTTTAAAAGAAAGTGGAACTAGAAACAAATTAATTAATATAAAATTTAAAGAATTTTTAAAGCATTTCTAAATAATTCTAATTCTTCCTATTGCTCAGTAATTTTTTATTAAACATCACTAAGAAACAAAATATCTTTCAAAACTTTTGCGTTATAATAATTTTTTTCTGAATAACAAATTTTTTTAGTTAAATTTATTAATAATAAATAATAAACAAATCTTTTTGTATAACCTTCATAATATTTTCCGTATCAGTTGTGGAAGTATTCATAGAATCAAAGAATTCCTCCATAGCCTGATCAGATATAATTAATTCATTAGTTTTGTCTTCCCTTACGTTAGCTTCATCTTCAAACACCATTTCCTCATCACATTCAGGATATTTGTATTCATATTCTTTAAGCTTTGAAAAATAAAAATATTTTTATTGATTTTAATTAATTTTTTTAAATTAAAATTCAAACAAAAAAATTACATCATTTGAGGAAGTTTCCTCATAAATTTAAATATCATAAATCAGAACAATATTTTTTTGTATTTTGAATTTTTGAAAAGAGAAATGGTTCTGATTGGTTAAAAATTACCCTCTGCTTCTTTTCTCGTTTGTATTTGTAAAGTGAAGATAAAGGTACTGATTCATTGGAACCTGGTTCCAAGTATAATTTGTAACTTTCTGGTCGACGTTTAGTCATATTTTCTTAATATTTTATTTTGTTTTAAATTATTATATTTTAATAATTTTTTCGAAAAAAGACAACATTAATTTATTTGTGGAAACAATTGCAAGTTTCAATTTAATGATGAAGATCACGTTACCATAGAAACTCATAAAACTGCGCATCTGAAAAAGTTGAGATTGTGATTTTTATTTTGTGCTTTTTCTTTTGAAAAAATGACAAAAATAAAACGTGCATTAATATATTTTAAAAACGGAAAAGAAAAAATAGTGCCGATAGAGCATTGCGCAAATTTTAAAATAACGAAGAATGAGGAATTTCGTCCTCAAAAGTGCAAAGTGTGGTCAAAAGGGACAAATGGAAAAGTTAAGAATGATTATTTACTTAACGCTCAAATGCTTCTGGTTGGCTGTAAGTGTTGATATTATCTTTTTTATATTATTATACTATATTTTTATGTTTTATGTACATTTTTATATATTTTTTATTATATTGAAAAATTTAATGTAATGATTATATAAATTATATAATTAAATAAACTTTAAAAAAATTAAAATTAAAAAAAATTTAATTTTTCTGTTTTAAAAATTATTTTTAAACTATTGTTTATTATTAAATATTCTACTTATAAAACATTATTTATTTTCTTGACAATAAGTAAAGATTTATAATTTTATTAACAGCAAGCGACTCGGATATTTTACGACAAAAAAGCACAAAGCGTGTCCGATATCCCAATATTAGAACGATGAGCAGTTTTTCATCAAGTGGTGGAGGAATAAGGAAGAAGAAAGCTCTTTTGAAGGTAATAACAAGATTATGGAGTTAGTAAAGTTCTAATTTATTTTGAAATTTAAATTTTTGATTTCACAGAAAAAGAATGGAAACAGAAACAATTTTCTGAAGGATAAAGCAAAGGAATACATGAACGAAAGTATAATGAAGAGGCATGATAATCTTATGAAAGACTGTTCATCAATTAATTCAAGTTCCGATTCCGAAAATGATGATTCGAATCCTAGCATTGACAAATCTAATTCTAATGATACTGTGCGCATAAGTTCTATGGAAGATTTTGGAGGTGGTTTGTATAATTTGTTACGTATAATTTATTTTTATTATTAATATATAATATTTAAAAAACGAGAATGATAGCGCCATTTTAACACGTAGATTCTGTTGTTTTAATTCTTAAAATATTGCAAGAAAAAATACTTTTTTGAAAAATAATAATTTAAAAACAACTTATTTAATAATATATTATAAAAAATGGGAAAACAATTTGAGAAATATAATTTTTTTTCAAAATGAAATTTTTGAAATTTAATTAAAAGAAATAAGTTCCAAAAAATTTTTTTGGAAAAAATATACATATATTTTATTTATATTATATTTATGTTATATTTATAAATATATAAAAATATAACATGAAACATATTAATGACAAATATATCGTCAATGACAACAATAGCAATTAAAGAATAATTTTAAAATACCTTAAAAATAAAATAACAATAGGTTATAATAAAAATAATGAAAGCGCTAAACAATTTTTAATATGTATCCAATCGAAAAAATAATATTAATAATTCATCATATTTTAATTCGCGTTAACATCAAGTTATTTATCCACAGATCAAAGAGAACGTGATGCCACTGGGGATCGTGATGCTGCCGGAAATGGTTTGTTTCAAATTCAGATTAATTATAATAGCGTAACTATCATCTAAGTTTTTTTTGTATATAAATTGAGTATCTCGATTCAATAATCGGTCGAGCCTCACAGTGTATTGCCGGTGCTCGACCGATTATTGCATTGAGACGCTCAGTTATTATTTTTTAAACAATTAATAATAATAATAATAAAATAATAAAATATATGTTTTTAATAACAATAATATTTATTGTTAAACTTATTTATAGGTCAAGAAGAATCTCCTAGAGCTTCACCTGGGCCCTCTAATAATTATTTCTATTGCAATATAAATAATTATTGGTTCTATTATTAATCAATGTTAAATTTTTATTAATAGATGCAAAAAGAGCTAGAATTATAACTAGAGAAGATCATGACACGACCCGTTTGCAATAGGCGTAAATATCGAACAAGGAAGATTTGGTAGAAATGCCGCTCCTGATGATAACGTGCCAAATGGTTTTCTTTTAACATAAATTAATAATAATTACCATCTCTTTTCATAAATTAATAATATTATTAATACTTACAATATAATAATATCAAGAGTATTTATAATAATATCTTATTTTAATATATTTACTTTTATTTTTTTTTATTTTTTTACATAATCCAATTTTTAATGTATAGGTCAAGAAACAATTAGGCGTAGACCTAGCGAGCAGAACAGACTTGAAGATGAAATAAATTCGTTAACGGATAATAATGCTAGATCATCCAGGATCAGATTTTGCCTTACTGTAAATGGTGACGTAGTATGTACATCAAATATATTAAAAATTAAAAACAAATTAGAATTTTTCGAATAAATTAAAAATTATCTTACACAAATTTTTTAAACTATTTTTTCAATTAGTTCTCAATAGAATATTAAGACAATTTAATTTATAGGTGCATATTGGACTAAATTTAACTATGGAGCAAGACACATGGGAAACTACGAACAGAAAAAATGATTCAAAGTTTGTCAAAGATTTGTGTATGAAATACTGGGGGACTGAAGTTTTACAAAGGAAATGTCTTGATTTGACGAGAGTACACAATGATCGAGCCAACAGAGAACAGATAACACCTGAAAAGGAACTACTTTTAGAAGGTGTGAATTAATAATCAAGAACCAAAGAATTTTTTGTGACGCAACAGTTACAATTAAATATAAGTTTTGTGAAACAAAATGTCAAAGGTTTTGCAGTAGACGAGAAACATTTTAGAGTAAATTTTAACAATCTGTTCATATTTTTCAAAAATAAAATATTTTGAGAGAAATTGCAAAATTTTAATAAATTTTGCTGAAATATAAATAATAATGATGATAATAATGATGATAATAATGATGATAATAATGATAATAATAATATATTTTTAAATGTCAAAAAATTTAACGAACAAAGAAATTCTATTTGTAACTTCAAATATTTTATATTATTTTAATTTTTAAATATTATTTCGATAATTAATTCAATTTTTATTTATAGATTTACTTTACAAGAAGATAACTGACGCTAGAGTTACAGGATTCAAAAGACTTGCAAGACTGAAAAAATTGGGGAGTTATATTTCAGAAAAAATCTGTGACGTCCGCAGAAAAATGAGAAGAGAAAATTAGTTTTTTAAATACTATTACTATTATTTGGAATTAATATTTCTGAGTTGTTATTTTTAACATACAATCAATCAAAACATCTTATACTTATTATTACTTATTAAATATTTCTTTAAAAACGTAATAAATTAAAAACTTAAAAAAATTCATATTAATTATAATTTTCTTTTTTTTAGTTATAGAATTTTAATATAATTAATTATAATTAAATTTTAATTATAGAAAAACAAGCATAAATCTATAAAATTAGATATACTTTTGAAAATTTATATTTAAAAATTTTAAATCGTTTAATTCGATAGATTCAAAATAAAAATACATATTTAATACGGCGTTAAAAATTTAATCGTAAAGCATCTCGGAATCGACATCGGAAATGACATCAGTAACATTTACGACTTTGATATCAGTTACGCATTTTAACTAAAAAGATATTTTTAATACGACGTTGTAGATTTAATTGGAAACCACACCGAAAACGACATCAGAAATAATTATGGTCCTGGTATCAGTTACGCATTCTAATTAAAAAGATATTTTTAATACGACGTTGTAGATTTAATCGGAAACGACATCGGAAATGTTTACGGTCCTGCTATCAATTTACGACATCGGTTCCAGATCAATTAACGTTGTAGTTTCCGGTATAATTGCCGATGTCGTTGCTGGTACCGTTTCCTGTGTGGTTTCCAATATCGTTTCAGATATTGGTTCCGATGTCGGTTTTTTCAATAGGGTATTGTATCAAATACTTTTTATTTGTTTCAATAAAACGAAATATTTAAGTGAAATAAATAAATAAATTGTTTCAATTAAATCATTATTATCGTTTCAAATAAATATTTAATCGATTGAAATATTTTTTTATTTGTCTTGATGAAATAGTGTATAAGGATTAAATTTTTAGGGTTACCATCTTTATTTTTTGTAATGTAGGACATAGACTTTAAAAAAGGAGTACAAAAGTAGGACAATTGGTAAAAAAAGGAGTAAAAAGTAGTAATCATTTTAAAGTGCAATTTAAATAAGAAATTTTATTATTTTTTTAATCAAATCATATTTATTTCACTTATATATTTCTTTAGAACATGTATTAACATTATTTGCTTAAAATTTTCGACTTTACATTTAACAATGTTAACATTATGAGAGTTTAGTAATAATAAAGATTTAAAACTTATATTTATCAATTTTTCCCACTTCACTTAACAATCTTTCATTCTTCAAAATGTATTTATAAAATTCATGGCAATCGATTTGATTAAAATTAACAGAAGTTTGTATGATTCCTTTTACGCTTGAAACTTGTAACTTGTTTTGAGTTTTTGAACATTGTCCATTGATGAGTGAAAAAATGCGTTCAACGTTTGCATTGTGTGGTGGAAGAGCAAAAAAGAATTGCGCTATTTTCAAAAGTTCCGAGAATTTGTCTGGACAAGAACACTTTAAAAAGAAATTACTCCATAGTTCATCAATTTGTAGGTCCGTGTCTTCATTTTTTTCCAAAAAATCTTTAATAAATAATTGAAAAAAACATACTTGATCGAAGAGTTTTGTTTCATCAAGTTTGATTCCCTTGGACTGTAAATATTCGAATGTCTTTGAAACTTGTTCCCATTCTGGAACCTCTTTAAAATCCATCCAGCGAAAACATTCAAATTCTTCAAAAGATTTTAACCACAGATTTAAATAATCTAAGCACGCCGTATACATTGC